GCAGCAAAAAAAATTGAGAATTAGGTTTTAATTTGGAAAAGATGGTGGGGTATTTATTGAAGAATGAGTGGTAAATATTGAATGGAAAGTGGTTGAAAGGTGTAAAAATATTAATTTATGGTAAAAAAACTCAACCAAGTCATTTTCGAGCGAGTGAGATGCACTCTCCGTTAACCTTTAACGGATATACTGACGGGCGCTACATTGTGCAAACCACAGGGAGGTAAAAGACCTATATTGATATGACAAGGGGGGTAAAGTGCAACAAGTTGAAACCACAAGGAGGTAAAGTGCTATTTACCCTAGTTTAAATCATTACAAAATATCTCATTCGCGGTTATTATAATCATCATGACCATTATCATCTTCAACGACATCTATTTGACCACGTTTGTTATATTTTCCTTCATTGACCAGATTTCAATATGACCAAGAAAATTAATATATTTCGTAAATCTCTTGAAAGCTCAGTACAGGACAGTGGGTGAACTTTTATAGTCAAGGTTGACATTTTGATTTCCACTGCGTTATTCCTCAAGTATCTATCATATTGTGCATAATAATGGATGCAAACATGACTTCATGTAAACTTCTTCTTCAAGAATCGAGTCGCTCATCTAGTAATTGCAACCCAAACTTGAAGAATTCAAAATGCTCGTTCTACATCTTTGCAATACGATTCATGTTTTCGTACGAGATAGTTTTCTTTGGCACATTTTTGTAAATTAATGGTTTGTACTAAAATTGATTGTTTAGGATAAATAACGTCAACTAGATAATAACCGAAAGGATATACCGTTGGTCAATGCTTTAAATAAAGTTGATTTTTGTAGGACATTAACATTATTATTTGTACATTCGATGCCAAAAAAATGCATGTCATATCCAAGTATCATGCGATGTTATTAATTCAAGTATGATAGTGCATATTTTGTTATGTTCATGTATCCCCACGCATGAGCTATTGAGCAATTCTTCCATTTCTAGTACATGCAATCTACGCTCGCCAACATCCCAGAAAAATCACGAGATTCTGCAACTTCTAACAAATTTTTGATGTTTTCGTATTTGGATCTCTCGGACAAAATTTCACCAAATACCGTGACGATGTGATACCCCGACAAGATTCTTTAACAAATCTCATTAGAGTTGACTCACTAATTCAAATATATTGATCAAATGAATCAACAGAAGTACCATAAGCAAGAAATTGGATAGACGTACGCATTTTTTATAAGAAGCAAAACTTTGTCTCGTAAGATTTCCCCCATGAAAATGAGTGTTCTTTTAAAGCTCTGTTAATATGTTGAAATAATTCACGATTCATTCCCACCACCTGCGAAATTTTGCGCCGTACGTGGGATTTTCACAAAAGCAAGCACTTTTGAATTAAATTCCGCCAGCTTCTTTTCCACGATCCGTATATCATGGCCAACAAAGCTCCCACCCTAGCTACTATGATCCTGAGATTGCAATAAGTTATACTGTTGTATCATTGCTTGTTGTTGAATTATAGATGAAAGATGAGGATTGACTTTGAATACTGTGAGGTGACCCAACTTCGACTCGTTGTAATACTTAAATTTGGAAGACATGATTAGTAAAATGGTTGATGAGTGTGGCCCAACTATCATAAATTTATATGAACAACCAAACGGCCACTTAACTCATTACAAAAACTAAGACCGGAAGATAATTACCGCATACCGAATACCACAGTATACCTACAAAATAATATTGAAAAATTACCGAAATTTCGGTTACTACTACATTTGGTATGGTATTGGTACCGTACCACTATTATACGGTACGGTAGCAGTATTGTATTTTCAATACCATGGTAATGCCGTACCGTACCGCAAATTTGAATTTTACAATCTAACTAATATGTATTTATTTTATATTGGTTAATAACTAATAAAAATTAAAATAACTACATGAAATAAATATGTTAAAACTTAAAAAGTTAATATGCTGACAAAATCACAATAAGCTATAACTGATGAGTCTTCATCACTATCACAACAAGCTCGGGTTGAATTGCAAATGCTCATTTACGACGAAAAAGAAGAATCAGAATCGTAGCGAACTTTAAACTACAAATTGTATACTGTAGAGAGAGACTACATAAAACGACAGAACCTCTCGCGGTGACATGGCAAACAGTTATATAACTGTTTTGGCATCATCTCCATTGATGAACTTAAAAGTAGAAAAAAACCTGCAATTTCATCAAACAGCTTATACACAAAAGGAGAGCGATAAATATGTGAACTTCAGATATAAAAATACTCGCATGTCACTTGTCCAACAAAACAAAAAACTAGGTTATCGAAATCATTAAGTTAATAAAACACTTGCTAAACATAATATCTTCTAGAGAATCGCTAAAGAACATATTAAACATATAGAACATCAATAAATCCTAACCTACATGGGGCCCACTTCGTGCTCAATAAACAAAACTTTAAACCTTCTTACTCTAGAAATGTTCAATCTTCAAACTTTCCTCTTCTTCTTCTCCTTCTTTTTGCTTTGGGGGGTGTCAACAACTTCTTCTGGCTCGGCGTGCTTTCTCTTCTTTTTCTTCTTCTCCGCTGAGTCAGCATTTTCTTGTTCATTCGTCAACTCTGCCTCTGCCTGCTTTCTCTTCTTCTTCTTTTCCTTCTTTCCGACTGCTTCTTCACTTTCGGGTTCCGCTTCTTTCGGAGCATCATCATCCCTCTTCTTTTTCTTACTCTTTTTCACTTCGGTCGTAACAGGTTCGTCCTTGTCGTTATTGGACAAGGATTCTGTCAGTCCTAGAATCGAATCGGCTGCAGGATTGTATGTCTGAAAAATGAACAAACAGAAAAATTACCACACGTGAAAATAGGGAAACATCTCCGATATTATTAATATGCATCCAACTGTGATAAACCGATTCACACACCTTTGCTGGAGTAATCATTCCACCTGATCCTTTCTTTCGGTCCTTGTCGTAAAATTCAATCTTTGGTTTGCCCTTAGCAGAACCAGCCGAACGCCCCAATTCTTTCCCTTCTAAGTTCCTCAGTCGGGCTTCAAGCTATATACAAAGTAAAAAAGAAACAATTACAAAAGAGAAGGGTTTAAAAAGGGATTCTTGAAACGTTGTACAGTTAATTACAACGAGTCGGAGTGTACCTTAAGTCTACTCTCCAAACCCATAGAGTTGTCTTCGCCTTCTCCAAGAGCATCGCATCGAATTGCCAAAGCGGCTTTTGCAGCGAGGGATCGTGAAATTTTACCCTTGTGCTTGGGTGCAGCTTGACCGATTAAAGAAGCATGATATATAAGCCCGTATTTAGGAGTTGCATGCTTTGTCTTCAATGCTCTAAAAAGGGCCTTCTCTGCACCGAGTATCTGAACAGTACTTCCAGGTTGCTTAGCAAGATTGATTAAGCTGCCTCCATGTGCAATCAATCGAGCACCAACCAATTCTCCAACAAGGGCAGTGAGATTTGGGGCAATGGAGTTCATCCTGCTCTTCAAATAGTCGAACAATTGAGCCCTGTATTCTGCAAGAGAAATAACTTGGTTGCATAGATCTTTAATGTTGTCCAAATCCATGTCACTAACTTCAGTTCCCATGGAAATATTGGATGCTTCTTTCAGTTCTGCTTCAACCTCCTCTTGAAGTATCTGCAACATTTGATAGCCCGTGTAAAAACACAAATAAAAGCCAGACAAGACAACAACAAAAATATTACATCAGACAAAGCATTCATTTTTTCAATAGTATTGACTCGGAAAGGGGAACTCGAAAAAAAAAATTGATTTACAAGCTCACTCTCTTATTAATCAGTAGAAAAATAATCTAATCAGGTGGCAAACTCAAAAGCCTAGACTCGGAAACACAGAGTCGTCAATATGTATAGCAAACAAGTATATTTCATAGACCAGCAGAATTATATTTGCATAACACGACAAAGGAACAATTTAAGTCTTTAGCAAGTCACTACTTGTTTCATAGTTCAAACAGTTTGACAGCATTTTTAAAAGGAAAATAGAACCGAAATCTCACCTCAGAGAAATCAAGTGTGGCAGCATTTGTTCGATTACCCATCAGCTTCACTGTCTTTGCATACTGGATATTGTCTGCAATGATCTTCGCAAGTTCTGGAAAATGCCAACCGTACCATTCCCTAACCCTCATTGCATACGTATTCAACTCTTTATCGAGGTCATCCAACAAACTAATGGCTTGTATTATCATCGTATCAACCTAGAGTAACAAGCAAACGGACCCAATTAGAAACCAAGAAAATATCACATTCGATCACGCACTGCCCCGGGTTTTATTAGGGCCATTTCAAGAACACTTATTTAAAGTATAAGAATTATTAGAGAATTAAACTAGAAAGAGATTTCACCTTATCAGGACTGAATTTCAATTTGTATCTCGATAAGCTGTGAGATAAACCGAGGCTCATTGGAGCTAAATCCTGTGTAGCTAAACCGGATATAAGTTCAGTGAGTTGACTTCTCACTCCTCTCATCAGTTCCATGACAGCATTGTTGTGAACGCATTCAATTTGCTGCGAGGAATAAGCAAATTCATTATAAAAGGCAAGAAAGGCACATCATTGGGTACAATAAAAGCATTGATAAATTAAATAAGTCGTTTTCTTTGAAAACTGACCAGCTTCTCTTTGATTATGTTCCCAAGCTTGGAATCGGCTACAGCTAAAACGTCATCGTCGCAGTGGCTACGCAAGAACTTGCGAAGACCTTTGCTGGGCTTACTATCAATCAATAGTGTAGCAGCTGATAAAGCCTCGGACGTGTTCTCGAACTTCGAAAAAGCTTTTAGCTTGACAATCTATTGTTGGAAAATTCGAGAAAAAAAAAACAACTGCTGATTAGATTCATATATAACAAAGTTGACCTTTGTTTTTTGGTCCCGCATTTGATGACAACAAAATCCGGTAAATATCGAAACTGAAACCAAAAAATATAACTGAACAACTTCCAATCTAAAATTTCTAGGAGTCATTTGCTGGAAAGAGAAAAGAACTCTTATTATTAAGACCACATTCTTGAATTTCTGTATTCTTCAAGTAAACTAAAATTGCTACGAAAAAACAAAATCAAATTTATGTGGGGCCAAACTAAGCCATTTTTTAAAAACAAAAACTAATTAAACTCAAAATTAAATAACGAAATTACTGTACAGGCACAAGACTGTCACAGTAGACTATAGTCCTGTTTTGCAACTGTAAATCAATTCTTCTTTAATCTACATTACACATATATAATCTTCCTAATTTAAGCGAAACCCGAAACCCGAAACCGAAACATTTGGTGGCTACAAACTAACACATATACATAATCATATACATACATCATTTGAAGTAGTAATGTAAGCCGAAAAATAAGAAGATTCAGAATCAAAACCTGTCGAGCAGAGTCAGGGGATGAGAACTCCTTCCCCAAATCCTGCAATACATATAAACAAATAAATTAATTAATTAAAAAAAAAAGAATCAGCGAATCAACCAAACAAATATGTAAAAAGAATACGAAGAAAAATTAAAAAAAGAAAGAAAAGAGTACCTCGATTTTGGAAACCTTTCTTTCATCGAGGACTTTGAAGAGAGCAAACCCGGCCGGCGTTTCGAAGAGGAGCAGCATAACGAATGATGTGTGTGTGAGAGAATTTGGGTTTCCAGCCGCGCTTAAAACTAGGGTTTTAGGGTTTTGCTGGAGAGCGTTTTATAGAACTCTGAACTTGGAGGATATTATCGTAATTACCGTTTTTTTAAATTAATTTTACTCATTTATATTCATTCACTTAATTTTCCTATACTACAAACCTACAATTATATTTTCTCGTTTTTTGTAAAATAAATATATAAACTCTTCCCTTCTTTATTTTACAAAAATACAAAAAAATATTGTACATTCATTATTTTACACCATTCCCAATCACTTCCTTCAATTTTTTTCTCATTTTGTTTAGGGTAAATTCCACTTTACCCCCTCGTACTTTGACTGAATGTCACTTTACCCCCTTGTACTCTCAATTGCATCGATTTGCCCCATTGTACTTTGGTTCGATATCACTTTACCCTTTTTTTACTCTCAATTCATCGATTTGCCCCCTTGTACTTTGACTCGATATCACTTTACCCCCTTCTACTCTCAATTGCATCGATTTGCCCCATCTGAAAAATTATCTCAATGTGGCCCTCACCGTTAGTTTTCAGACTTTTGACCTTAACACCGTTTGATCTAAGTTTCAAAATTACAAAAAAAAACAACCCCTCCCTGTTTAAATAATTATTAATAAAATAAAATAAAATAAATTGTGGTTGGCGTCGTGGACTATATTTTCTCGCTGTCTTGATTTTTTTATTATTTTATTTATTGTTGTTTTTTTATTTTTTATTTTTTTTTTATTTTTTTATATTTAAACTTGAGGGGTGACATTTTAGTAATTTTCATACTTAAATCAAACGGTGTTAAGGTCAAATGTTTGAAAACTAACGGCGATGGCCACATTGAGACAATTTTTCAAGGGGAGCAAATCGATGCAATTGAGAGTAGAAGGAGGTAAAGTGATATCGAGCCAAAGCACAAGGGGGCAAATCGATGAGTTGGGAGTAGAAGGGGGTAAAGTGATATCGAACCAAAGTACAAATGGGCAAATCGATGCAATTGAGTACAAAAGTGATATCTAGCCAAAGTAAAGAGGGTAAAGTAGAATTTACCCTGTTCATTTATACGCAAAACCTACTTTGATCCGAATAGATGTGTCTATTTTGCTAGATAAGTATAAATTATTTTTTCAAAATAGATTTATAAGAATTTTTGCTCAATTTTCTTCTTCATTGTGTTTGAGGGGTAAGAAGGGCAACTCCAATGGGAGACCCCAAACACTTATTTGGGGCTTGCTACAGTGTTTTGGGCTTCACAAAAAGGTTTTTTCTCCAATAGCAAATATCAAATTGAGGTCTCATTTTTAAATTTAATTTAACTAGTACTTCACCCGTGCGTGCACGGTGATCAATTTTAAAACCAAATATCTTTAATGTAGAAAATCAACGAACTTAAAAATTTCGAGAATGTAAATTGAATAAGAATCGAACAAAATATAACAATTTTTTATCTTAATTTATCAATAAGCAGTCTACATAAATATGTAGATATAAACTGAAATGTTCTAAATATCGTCCACGTCGAAATGCCACAACCAACTCCATGTTTGCAATCAAAGCAATGCACCACTTTTACATATTAATCTCATTGTTGGTACAGTAGAAGACCAAACTACAGTCAAATCCACCATTATAGGATGAATAACCTGTTATTTTTCGTAATTTCAATATATGAGTTCAAAATACTTAGATAAAAATACAAATATATTAAGAACAAACGAAGAATGTATGCATGTAATTACCTTGCACAAAAAACAACATACTCAATTATACATGTGGAATATTCCACTCGTTGTTAATAAAATTGAAAATACATAAATTGTACATAATACCACGTATAATTGTCCGTGACACTTCTAATACTAATACTAATCCTAATACTAATACAAATATTTATATACTAATATTGATATACTAATACTCAGGGTTATTGAAATCTTACGGTTTATGATTTAAATGTTACAATTCGATTCATACCTAAATCAGTTCAAATCTTAAAATAAATCTTAAATGTCAAAAAGTCAATCAAATCTTAGGATTTACGATTCGATTCTTATGATTTACGATTCTTACGATTAAAGAAAATTTTAATTTATTATATTATTTACAATAAATTTCAATTAAAAAAACCTTAAACTTTGACTATGAATAGTTGATGTGATTATTACGTTACTGTCAGTACTTATCCCCTAAAATACAATTAAATCAAGTATATACAAAAAAAAATCACAATATATAGTATTACTTTGCTTCTTTTCTCATCTATTGTTGCAATATAAAGTAGGAAAATCAATTAGAATTAGGGGGCTTGTTATTATCAGTGCGGTTTTTATCACTCGCAGTGCAAAATAATTCATTGTTTTTTTCTTTTCTAAATCTTATCCAAACCTCCTCTCAAAGACTCTTAACCTTTAATTCTTGAAAATTTTCAAATTCAATAATTTTTCGACCAATATCAGTTAGAGCACAAGTATTATCAACATGGATGACAACGGCTTCGATTTTGAGGTGAAAATACACGTTTTTTGTTCATTTCCAACATTTTAGACATTTCGTGTTATTTCACACGAAATCTATTCTTCCATTTCGTGTAATACTATACGAAATGTGTCTTCAAATCGTTTGTTGTTTGTTTCGTAGAAAAACCTACGAAATAAAAGCTCTTATTTCGTATGTTTTTACACGAAATTGTAGCTTACATTTCGTGTTATTTCATACGAAATCCCTTACATATTGTCTTTTAATTTCAAATATTTATGCATGAACTAAGATAACAATCTCACGATCATAGTCACTTCTTTGAACGTGGTATTGTGTGTGATAGTAGAGAAGCGTTAATTATGTGGGCAAAAGACACATCAATTAGTCAATGGTAACTTCAGTAGAGATAATTTTCCGGGGGGGAGATGGGCTTCTATTCTATTTCTCTTTTTGCCCGTGATTGGAGAGGTGAATGTGTATGATGGTCGGTTAGATACTTTCCGGGGCAATCACAAGTTGTTGGTTGTCAGGCACGTGCGGCATTAGAGGCGATCATTTGTGCGAGCGCTAAGGGTTGGGATTCGATAATTGTAGAAGGTGACTTCTTTTCGTCGTTTGGTTCTTTTATTGAGGAGTGTTTAGTTGTAGCTCAATCTTTTGTTTTATGCAAATTTTCCTTTGTTAAGCATTGCAGAAATCAGTTAGCACGTGTGTTTGCTACGGCTTCCAGTTTGAATTGTTTAGAGGGATCTATAATTCCTCACGATCTGGCTTCTTTTGGGAAATAACGATGCTACACTTGGTTAATATAACCAGGCACCCTAATTGATAAGATTCCCACTACGGGTTCAATTATAGCCCATGAGATTTTAGAAATATAATTATAAAATAAATTAAAAAGAACACACGTCAAGAAGAGAGACACCCGGTGAAAATCACCGGATGTAGCATCGTATTCCCCCTTCTTATGCCTGATAAATTGTTCTTTCCTAAAAAAAGTAACGAATATTTTTCAAATGCCAGCATACTATTAAACCCATTTTTTCCATTAAAGTAATAACTCGAAAGTTAAATGCGATTGTTTAATAAAAATAGTAACTACTATACACAATGCTGTCAAATTTATAAGTAATTACTTATAAATATTACTAAAAATCACATTTAACAAAAAAAAAAAAATAACAATTTAATAATACTAGTACCTTCACCCTAATACTAGTACATTCACACGTGCGACGCACAGGGATCAATTTCAAAATGAAAAAAGAAAAAATATATGTAATAACGATCTCATTGTAATAAATCGAATTCAATAAAATGAAATCCAAATGACATTATAAAAAAACATATAAAATTTATCTTTTGATATAAAGTTGTGACATATGAAACACAATTAAATATTACATAGAATAATGCGCAACCTGTAAAACCAATAATATTTTTTATAATACTTCAATTCACTAAAAATACTCCATATGTTTAAGACATTGTCAAACTAAACACATCTTATTAATAAAAGTAAAGTTGTTCTGGTGAAACCTGGAGTTTTTTTCCCGCTCATTTTATGGCTATATTTGTTATCTAATTATTTTTTTACTTTTATTTTTTGTCATTTAATTATTTTTTACTTTTATTATTTTATTATTACAATTTTCATTTAATTAGTTCCAAGATTTAATGTGTCTAATATTTTTTCGTTGTTTATTGTTTTACCTCTTCTTCCCCATGACTTCCACTTTTGATCTCTCTCCTCTCCACTTCATCTCCTTCAGGATTTTTTCCCCCCACCCCAAACCCCCCCCCCCCCCCCCCTCTTTTTTTTTTTTTTTTCCTTTACTTCTTTACAAATCTAGCATATATATCCATATTCTTCATTTTTGTGTAAAAGTTTGTTTCCCCCTTTCATTATTTCACAATTTCTTCTTTCCCAAATTTGACAACCCACCATTCTTATTCCACCACCACCACCGGATCCGGCTAACCCCAACCAACTCCGCCAAAATCTGCGCAAATCCAGCCACACATAACTAATCCCACGGCGATTTGTGCTCCACCCACTCCACTTCATCTTACAGCTCTTCATACTCCGAATTATCCACATCTTTTCTTCACACCGAATCTATGTATATATCCATCTTCAAGTCAAGTTCTCTTTCTCCATATTTCTACCCCAAATCTACATCTCTCTAAAATCCTACCCGCCTCTCCTACTTCTTTTCTCATATTTTTCTCCCTAAATCTAACTATGCATACATATTTTGAATCTCTTCAATCTCAAATTTTCTGGATTTAATTCGATCCAATAAATTTCATCCGTTTTTTCTCAATTTTATGCGATTTGTCGAAACGGGATATGATGAATGTGTTAATGTTTATATATCTGGAGTTTTCCGGAGGTTTGTTTAGTTTATTTTATCAGAATACAATTCCTTTTTTTTTAATATTTTTTTGCCGGATTAATGTACAATTCCTCTTTCTTTGTTTGATTCTTCCAAAGTATTAGATTAATTCCTTTTTATGTATATATATTGTTTGTGTTCTTTATCA